GGCAGGGTACGGGTGGCGTTCCTTCCCCCCCCCCTCAGCGCTCCAACAATACTGTGTAATGGCTATTATTTAATTAAATACGGAGCTTATGAAAGTGGCGAAGGCGTGGCTAGCCGTTGGCAGAAGCAACCGCCGTCCAATGAAACTGCAGCCCTTGGCGAAGGCGTCGCTAGCCGTTGCCAGGTCCAATGAAAGCGGCGAAGGCGTGGCTAGCCGTTGCCAGGGGCAACCGCCGTCCAATGAAAGTGCGTATGGGCCGAAATACACACACACACACACAGACAGACAGACATGAACGATTTTATATATATAGATTGAAAACTCGCTTCTCCGATGAGCACGACTTGTTATGTACGGTGCGAAAGAAGTTCTACATACACGCAGATGTTGAAAAGAAAATGGAACAAAAGCTAACAAGTGCAGAAAGCAGCGCGGGGGAACGCACGCTTAGAATTTACACTGAGAGACAGAAAAAAAACGTTACGCATAGTTTGATGGCAGGAACCCAAATCGGAGACATCGCATTCACTGCCAAGAAAGGTAAATGGGCGTGGGCGGCAGGACACATCGCTGAGCAGGATGGATGCCAGTGGGCGAGGCTGGTCACAACATGGAGCAATGAGATCACATGGTGCGCAGGAGAGAGATGGACGGTAGCCGCACTGAACTGTGATGGAGGATGGCGAGGCCTTCATCCAGCAGTGGGTAGATAATGAACGTGCTGACGTAGTGAAGATGTGCCTACTCAACACCAATTTTGTTTTGTCACGGGTTGGGAATTCAAATCAAACTCTTCCTAGAAATCACGACATAAATCCCATCAAAGTAGAAACATTCGTTTTGGGATTGCCACGTTCCAACCCTTTCTGGCTTGGTCCTCTAGACGATCATGCGGCCACACGTTCAGCTCCGATGGCAGTCGTGCCTTCCTGCTGTTGGTGAGCACACATGTGTGCAGAATTAAACCTATGGGGGAGTGGAATCCTGTCTACTTAAGACGGGCGCCTGTCAATGTCCCAGCTATTATTTAGGATAATACAATATATTGGCTGCTGGATTTACCAGCACTTAATCTCTTTTCCATTGAGATGGCACATTGCATTAACCCAGTAGCAGTAATCCCATCACTGATATGTAATGCTCCAATTCCTGATAAAACAACATTCTACCGTGATAGAGTCTGTATCAATATTTGTAAAAAAAGAAAAAAAATAGGCTAAACCATTGTGTGTGCGCCTACAGAAACCCTGATACTAAAGTCACCAGCAATGTGCCTGATCTTGTCACGTATTGGAAGCTTAAGGCAGCAGTGTACCTTGTTAGTAATTGGATGACACAGACTGCTTGGGAATACTGGGTGTTATAGGCTTGGGCTGAGGCATCACCAGAACATAGCATGCAGTTCGAGAAAGTATTGGAGTCACCACGGTGGCGGGATGTTTACTCCCTCGCCTGGTATACAGGAGGTCGTGGGTTCGATCCCGTCCCTGACGCCTGCATATCGGGAGTTTGCATGTCTCCCTCGCCTGGTATACAGGAGGTCGTGGGTTCGATCCCGTCCCTGACGCCTGCATATCGGGAGTTTGCATGTCTCCCTCGCCTGGTATACAGGAGGTCGTGGGTTCGATCCCGTCCCTGACGCCTGCCTATTGGGAGTTTGAATGTCTCCCTTGCCGTGGTAGCGTGGATTTTTCTCCGGGTACTCTGGCTTTTCCCTCCACATTTAGAAACATGCGTTTCGAGCATTTGGCTGCTATAAATGTCCACGTGATAAGCCACTTCGTTGAGCTATCATTTGTGATGGCTAGGTCGCTTCTGAGAAAAGTGCTATATGGCTCAGTGGGCCTTACCTGGTGAAATAAAAATATCTAGTTTCGTTTAGTATTCTTGAATCTAGTTGTGTGAGTTTTCTCCAGGTACCTGGGTTCTCCCACAAAACAAACTCTCATCGATGGCATTGGCCACGCATTTCAAGGCAGCAAGACCTCTCCTGAAAGAAAAAGCAATTGTACGATTCATACTCTTTGGGTCTTTCGGTGAAGTCACGTAGATCGAAACATAATAAAAGATCACGACGTTTCAATTGCAACACGAGCAATCGTCTTCAGGTGAAAAGATTAGAGCAAGGAAATATGATAATAGGTGCTTCCCCTTCTGGCAACAAAGCAGGTGTTAAGATGTTAAAACACCAAACTGAAACTTTTTACAAGGAATCATGTCTGCATTGATTGTGGTCAATGCAGACATGATTCCTTGTAAAAGGTTTCAGTTTGGTGTCTTAACATCTTAACACCTGTTTTGTTGCCAGAAAAAAGGGGAAAACCCTATTATCAAATAAACGAAAGTTGTATTGCTTTCACATTATTATTGTTGAGGCCAGAGATCGATATCAAGTTTCAAATCTGTTTGTATTAACCACGTGAGAACTTGAGAGACCATAATTGCTTCATTTGTAACCGCCAGTCTTCTCAGGTGTTGGTGTTGACCCATTGCGCGAGGTACGGCGGGCTATGAAGTGTTGACTCGAGGGGAGGTCGGGGACTATACACGGGCACCAATTAATAACAATGCCAATTTTTTACGCACAAATTTTTCACTCGCCCATAACGGCAGCGACCCTGAGGCGTGGAGCCCAGCTCAGAGATCCGTTCAGTAATCGTCAGATAGAAAGATGTTTTTTTGAGAAGGCGCTTAAAGGTGGGGGAAAAAAATTAAGCCGTAAAAACTAAGTTTTTCACTATAAATCCTTTATATGCGTGGCGGCTAGAGTTCTCTCGTCCTCTGGCTTGAGATGGCTGCCACCTATGGGTCAGATGATTGCCTGCCACCATTAAGCAATTGGTAATTAAATAGAATTATTTTTTTCCTAAAAAGTGTAACATTTTGGAAATTTTTTATCACATTGGTATTTTAAAATAAATATGAAAAAAAAATCCTAAAAAGTGGAACATTTTTGAAAAAAAAATTCACGAAAATAAATTGTCACGCACAACGAGTCTGTGTGCAAAATGTCAGCTCGATTGGATCACGGGAAGTGGGTTAAAAAACGACCGAAAGATTTGCAAGGTCGTAAGCGTGCAAGCAAGCAAGTGAACTTAATATAAATGATTTAAAAAAGGGCCAGCACTGCCAATGTGGAGGGGCATGGCGGCGTTCCAGGTGAAGGCGCCGACTACGGAGAAACGATGCAATGGCGATCGTGGCCTTGACTCTCGGTGTCGAGAGTAACTCCTGGGCAGAGTTGCGTAGAGTTCCGTTGGTGGTTTGGGAGCAGGGCGTCAGGAGGTCCGAGAGGTATGGAGGGTAACGGCGTGCAATCAAGCATGTATCGCCGGGATCAGAGCTCAGCGTGCTAAACCATTATTCCACATCCATCCAATATACACTTACACATACCCACACAACATACAAACGTATAATAATATTGATGTTGCAGGCTCGCCATTTGAACCTGGGAAAATGGCCTACACAGTTTGCGAATATGTTTTGCAAGTGGCCCAGCGGCTATTTCGTCAAGACTGACCCTCTCTGATGATTCCAGTGCCTCGCATGTTTCCAGCCCAAAGCGTTCGAAAGGCAGCTCGTTTGTTTGGACACTTGGCACCATTTGACAGTCAAAGAAATGTTAAATCCATGAAGGCTTAGCTCGCCAAAAATTGCTCTTGCAGACAAACAAATATCCTGTGCCGCCTACGCCTCCCCGCCAAACGCCTGTCTGGCATTTACAGATGGACTGCAATACGATCTTACATACCCTCCACACACTTGGAACAAGTCAATATGTGTCAAACTGTCAATCACTCAGTATTCTTAATTTCACTACGCAATAGATAGCACTTGGCATTCGTCCCAAGGTGCTATCTAAATGTGATATGTCTGCAAACTGCTTTTTGCAGACATATCATATTTTGTGATTGTAGTTGTAGGTGATTTTACAAGTGGGGCTTTAGCTATGACTTCATCCGCAATCACCTTGTGCAAAGCGCGGACTGTTCGTGCATACGATCACAAAATAAAAAGCGTTTTCTTAATATATTTAATTAAATAGTAATAACGTCGAAAGCAGAAACTGAGAGCATTTGCTAACATCGTTAAGTCCACCGAAGCCACATTGTCAATTGAAATGTGGTGGTTGCATGTCTGTAATCCGGCAATTTGGAGGCAAGCGTTGGTGGATGATAATACAGATTTGTGAAACTCCCGAATGCACTGGGCCGTAATGTTGCTTGGAGGTAGCAGCACAGCAAGAGGATCTGTGAACCACCTGTACGGATCCTTCAGTGGTATCCCCTTGTCCGAGTGGGGGGGGGGGGGTTTCTTCTGCAGATGCTCTGGTTTCCTCCCGCACACAAAACCCCACGTTTGACCCCACCACACACGTCCTGCCAAAATCGACTCCCTTCGGTATAAACATTTATACTGCTGGGTTGGACACAGGCTGCAGGGGATTTTAATAAATGTGTCCATTGTTTTAATAGCCGCGCCGGGAGATAGAGCCGCGACCACTGGATTGTGCATCCAGTCTGCCTATGATTACAGCACAGAAGCATGCATGTTTATATGTATATTCAACTATGGAGGAGGCTCGTGAAGTACGCTACTGGTCAGTTGGAGGCAGTCGCCCTCCAACAACAACGGAGGGCAGAGGAGCGACGCTCACAACAACGGACGGAACGCCTGATGGCTAAAATGCTGCAAGTTGGCACAGGAGGGGGCACAGCTGGTGCATCTGCCAGTCATCTCAGTCAATCGTGCCGTGGCTCCTGGGTCTGTCCCGTAACCTCCTGCCAGCGAGCTTTCGATACTTCACGTGGCTTCAAAGTGCACCTGGCCTGGCACAGGCGCCATAATGACATCACCACCACTGAGTGGCGAACGGCGGCTGTTGTTGTTGAACTTTTTCTACACCCTACATAGGCAACCGTGCTAATCGGGAGGTGCAGAGAGTGAGCGTGCTGCTTACTGCGAGTGAACGTTTGGTTTGTTCTTGTCTTGCCCAGGCCACAGAACCCATTTCTGGAGCACAGTGTCCCACTGTTCATCGCCTTCCGTTCAGTGGGGGACTGGTTGGATGTCATCAAGATGGGGCGTTACAAGGACAACTTTGCCGTGGCAGGCTTCAACCACCTGGAGTCAGTTGCACAGATGAGCCTTGAGTGAGTAACATTGTTTTTACTCGCTGCGGCAGATGGCAGTGGCATCAAAATGTGTTTTATGTAAAATATAATTATACATACGTGAACTTTTTTTTCTGAAATTACATTGGAGGGCTATACAGCACAACTGCGAAAAACCAACGCAGTTAAAAACAATTCTTCTTCGGAAAGAATCTGTCGTAGTGGTCCCCAGTGTGTTACAGTATGATAGGGGCTCCCCCATAATGAATTACATGCAATCTATTCTGTTGAGAAATATAATCTGCAAGCTTTTAAATGCTACTATTGGGGGGTAATTTTTAATGGACAATATTTTTTATTTCAATCTTGACATTAAAGCTTTCGTGACTGCAGAAATTCATGTTCTTAGGGCTTTCGGTAAAGCCACGTAGATAGATCAAATAATAAAAAAATCACGACGTTTCGATCGCAACGTCGTGATATTGTCATTATTTATTTAGTTAGTTTGAATCATCTATTTACTCTAAGAAACGAAAATAACATATTTACACAGAAAGTCTATATAGGTTGTTGCAGAAAATATACGTACAGTAATTGGTAAATATAGCAGCTATTAGGCTGTATACATTTCAGTTTTTAAACAAAATCAATTATTATTATTTTGGGATAGTTAAGTCATTTTATTTTTATCCTGTGCTTAAACAATGCTGCTAATGCATGTAATTAAAATGTATGTATGCAATTTATAGGTTTCGCAATGTTACTTTTTAAACAAAATAATTTTCAGCACCTTTATTAAATGGCTACGCTTCTGATGCTAAATAATTTTCGTTAGTTTTGCTCAAAGCCGTTTGAAAATACGACTCATCTCAATGATACGAGAAGTTTCATCTTGTCGTATGCAATAAAATCCCTCCTTATCTTCAGTTGCTCACCGACAATATCAAAGACAAAGATCCCCTACATATCCTTAACAGACTGTTAGGGCAAGTGCTGTTAGCAAATTGCACCTATGAAGGTCGGCACGCACACGAGGGGGTGGGTAGCCAACACCATGCCTGGCCGCCTTTGTCTCCACACTGCTGATGTTTACAAACTGCACCAGATACTCAATTTGAGACTGAGTCGAGATAGGGGAGGCCCACGACCAGTTCAGATAATCGTCACTGGTGTTGGCCGTGAGTCGGATTCGAATTCGGGTCGCTGAGTTCATAACGCAGCGTTAACAGTTGCACCACCACTCCCCACACACGCACACAACATGATTACCCCAGTGGCCAATTCATCTTAAACATGAAAATTGTATTCCAGGAATGCCTTCGCGTCACCGGTGTAAATAACATAGCGTCTGTCGCCACATTCTTTCGACTTACCACAGATTTGCAGATTAAAAAAAATGTAATTTGATCTCTAGATAATAGCATCAATCACAGGGCGAGTTAAATACCATGAGCAGGAAAGGTCACAATTAAGAGAGCCCAGCCGAAGAGCAATAACAAAAACCCACAGATATGCCAATAACACTGCCCAAAGAGGAAATTTATAGAAAAAGGTGACATTTTTGCACAATGGCCCTTCTTCAAAGCACGGACGAGTTTCATCGTATGTGTACGTGCTATAATAAACAATTATAAAAAGTACACACTGCTGATGTACTTACATCAAATGTTCATGATGTGCTGGATAAACGTCCGGAGAAAAGGGACTGCATTTTTGCCACGATTAATGTTTCGCCGTGTGTGTCCGTGTATTCCGAACAGCGACGTTATACGGATAGGCATCACGCTGGTGGGCCATCAAAAGAAGATTCTAAACAGCATCCAGATCATGAGAGCACAGATGGTGCAGATGCAGGACTCAGGAGTTCAGGTGTAAAGCGGCACTTTACCGGGACCGGCCCCCGAGCTTCTACGCCCTGCTCTCACTGCCCCCGGAGGGCCCCACGGCCGGCTCTTTATTATTTAAGGGAGAATTCTCCATTGCAAATGGAATAAATGGAACCGAATGGGGGTGGGCGGGAGGGGGGGGGGGTTGGTGGGGAAGGGGGTGGGTGGAGGAGAAAGTAAAAGGCAAGATTGGGGGATGATGTTGAGAACATCTGCAGCCGGCAACGCACCGCACGTGTTTCTGACATGAAGCCGAAGAGGAAGAAGTAACAATCGTGCGCGGCGCTTCTGAGACGACGTCCCCCTTTTGCGCCCGCTGTGAGTGACGTGGTGAGCGGGGTGGGAGGCGATGAGGGACAACGCACGCCGCCGGTGGCTTGCGATTCACGGTGGCCGCGGATCGCATCTGCGCTCGTCTGTCCGATGAAAGGATGAACGTACACGGTTTTGCTTTGGTTTTATACTCGATATATTCACGAAGCTCTTGTGTTGTAGCAAATAATTACGGTCGCATCGCAAGTTTTGATTCCACGCTACTAAATGCTTGTACAAATTAGGAGAAGAAGCACTGACGAGTGGCAATTTTTTTGTGTTTTTCCGATTGTGGGATTTTTTTTTTTTACGTATTCCTTGGTTCTCAATTATATTCGTTGTTGACAACACCGTTATGACACCTGGAGGTTATCAATCAACACCTTTTCATTTCACGTTTGTTGTGATAGTGCTATTTACCTAATAAGAACACAACGTGATCAGAAACGTCATACCTCATTTGCAAGTCGTTGGGTTTATTTGACGTTTTACCAAATCACTGATAAACTGCACTCTCTGTGCTCTCACATGTGTCATTTAAATGGAAACTACATTTGCGCGTCATTGCAAAAGTATTCCCCGGCGCTGCACGTTTACAACAGGGCTATATGTTGTGAAGATAAGATACGGATTGATCAGATTTCATTCCAGGGTAACAATTTGCAGTTCTTTGTCAATCCACTGCTGGATAAAGGGCACCCCATTCTGTGTCAGTCGTGGCACTGTTGTTTGACTGCTATGGTCAGTGCGAGTTGGTGAAGGGAGGGAAGGCACGGCTGGGAATCTAGGTATCAAACTCCAGTTGAAAGAATCCAAATGGAAGATCTAACTACCTTATAGTTACATTTTGATTTAAAGCTTTCGTGACTGCAGGGATTCATTTTCTTGGTTCTTTCTGTAAAGTCACGTAGAAGGAAAACAATAAAAGAATAAAAAATATAAAACAATAAAATTCTTACGACGTTTTGACTGCAACACAAGCAATCATCATCAGGTGTGAAAAACACAGCATGACATTTTTTTTCAAATTTTCTTGCCGTGTTTTTCACACCTGATGATGATTGCTTGTGTTGCAGTCGAAACGTCGTGAGAATTTTATTGTTTTATATTTTTCTTATTTTATTGTTTCCCTTCGACGTGACTTTACCGAAAGAACCAAGAATACCTTCTAGTTGTATGCAAGTCGTGCAATGTAAGAATATCATGTTGGAGGTGGTGCCACATTGTTTTGCACACCGAGCTATGAATCCTGCAACTTGAGGTTGATTCTCTTCCACAGCCATCAGTGGCGAGTAATGTCTCCAACGGGACTAGGTGGGTCCCCCTCCTTCACTAACCCTCGCTGACCAGTATGGTCAAATCAAGAAAAATTACATAACTGACACCATCTGGTGGATTGACACTGGCCTGTATATTATTATGCTCATATTTCACACACGTATACACAATCATTATTTCTCATCTACAAATCATGAATACAAATTGCTTTACTTTGTTCATTAACTCCACCCACCCACCCCTTGCGGCTAGCAATACAGAAGTTTAGCAATTAAGCACCACTAACATTTGGCGAAGCAGTAAAACAAAAAAAACATTTCCATAGAAATTTAACAACGCTCCATAAAGTCCAAACATAAAACTACGTGAAAATAAAGTACTAGAAGAGCATGCTGGCAACGTCATAAATTGACAACTTCTCATATTATTATTATTATTGGGAGGCCAGGGAGGCGAAGGGCAATAGAATGACAGCGTGCACCTTGAGATGGTATTTGCAGCTTTACTTTGAGCAAACGGTGGAGCGGTGGTTAGCGCACTTCACGACGAACCCAGTGGTCCGAATTAGATTCCTGGTCACGGCTCGCATCAGTGGTGATTAATGCCTGCACCGGTCCTGGTTCCCTTCTCCCACCTTTCACCAACCTCCACCATGCGACGTGGTGAAGTAGGTCAAACAGACCCGCAACATGACCGACACACACAACGTGGGGAGGCCTTCATCCAGCAGTGGAGTGATAAACCGCTATAAACTACTAAATGAATTGAGCAAACAGAAAAAGAACAATGTCCGGTAAAAAAAAAATGGGCATTCATAAGATGTGCATAATAAACGTAGTGACATTCAGGCCATGAGAATGGTCATAAAATCACAAATAATTAGCCAAAACTGCCTTAAGCCAGGCATTAGTGAAGACATGTGAAAATTGTGCTGTCATAACCCGTTCGTGGCCATGCAAAAATAATCATTTATAAAGGGGAAAAATGCCAAATGTTCCTAAGAGAGCAGCGGTTATGGTGACTGTATGTGCATTAAATCGATACTAAACGTATTAAGCTGGCATAGCCAGCTCCGATAAACGACAAACAGGGTGTTCGTAATGTCGCGTTGCACCTCCCCCTTGTAAAGAGAAACTGTTTCGGTGTTGTGAGCCTCAAACCACACGAATAGTTTTGTTTCCCTGTGCTGATCGACCGTTGAGTACCTTCGCTAATGGTCATGGCATCCTTCACTGATCTGTACAACAACAAAAAACGAATCCCGTTTCGTGTGTGATCACAGATATGGCACATATCGTTATCTACGATTACACAACAAGCTATAATTATTCAACACAGCTTAGCACCGACCTCACGGTTGCCAATATCATCACCAATTATTTTTCATGCTTTTTTTTTTCTTACACTCGGTTGAAGTAACTCTGTGACAGAAGCAGACTCGAACGCACACGGTGCTTCGATTACGAGAGTCTCGTTTCGTTGACTGTTAGTTGGCTAAGGCCGGATCTCGCTGGATTTGCACGCAGAGGCCTGAACCTTCAAACGTCCTTTGGGACCGACTCAAGTGGACTCCACTGAAGCCAGACCTGTGTGTCCATGGTGACGTTATGCTTTTGGCAAGGCGCTTAACAGACATATGAGGTTCGACAGAGTCGCTTACCGGCTCTGGCTGGTCTAGAACAGTGGCTCTCAACCGGGGGGGGCCCCTGGCTGGGGCTAACGTGGCAATATCCCAGGGGGCAACGCGAGGTGCTTTATAAATCTGTGAAATTACATCATACGTGAGAGTCATTGGTGAATAATCACGTATGCATCTGCCAACATAAAATAACTACGATAAATGTTGAATCCAGGCGGTAACTTAGGACGACGTAAAAGACCTTGCTAAACTCGTTGATCGTAAACAATGTGGTTTCCCAGAGGAACCAGCGAGTGTGAACAAATCACGTCGCGCGCGCGCATAGCGCCCCTTACTTTGCTTTTATTCGCTTGCAGACACCAGCAGGTGAGGATATACCTCACAAAATGGACGACTCGTTGAAATATAGATGCTCATTATTGATACACTTATCATCTCAGAGCCATGTTGGGGGAGTCAGGCAAGGCGGGTTTACTCGGTTGAAACAAAATTCAACAAGGGGAGCCGAACAAGGTTGAGAACCACTGGTCTAGAGGAAACCACGAGACAGGACTTTCGTTGGTGATGGTGACACAGGAGATGCCTATCGTGGTTCTACTACAGATGTCTCTTCTTCACACGTGAAACAAAGTCAGCGACCTGGTTTTTGCTCGGAATGGTACACAGCTAGCAAGTCACAGCCGTCCTATTTTTTTGTTACAGGTCAATTTTGTCTTCGCTGACACGTATCTCAGCATCGCTTCGGCTGTACGATTTGAGCTTTTAAAATTGTTTTCATTGCCTTATTGACGTCCGGTTTCTTTGCATTTTGACGCCGATGAAGGATGGCTGCATATTGAAGAAAGTCTCTGCTCTTCCAGTGGCTAATGTTCCCTTGCCACTATTAAAAGCAATGCAAGTCAAAAATATATATATCAAAATATGTATTTTGATTTGAAAAATAGTCCTGCATTTTTTTTGCCAATATGGCTCGGACATGAATTAATATACAATATAGTTGGCATCCTTTGATAATTCTGCCCATTGTGCGGAGAGTGGTATTTGAAATGAAATCGCCAAATTGACAACGGCAAATTGGTTTCAGTAGAATCCCACAAAAGTAGCGAAGGCACTTTTTGGTCTTCACGATATACTTCACCAGTTTACAAAGGAAGCTTTACATGGCAATTCTCATTTACACTTTTATATCCATTGTCTGTATATATATACACACGGTATAATCACACCGCAACTTGGAACTTTTGTTTTCACAGTTGCAATGCATGTCGTCAGACCGGTGTACAATTTTGTTAATTTATTAAGGCGTTTTTAGAGAGTGTTGCTTATCGCTTATGGCATAACGTCTGAAGTCCAAGAGCAAAAGCTGTATCTTCCAATTGTGTGCGACGGGCACAAATAACATGAAAGCAACTGAAATAGTGCTTCGTGAATGAGGGTGGGCTACGTAAAGGCTGGTATCTCGGCTCATTATGCAATTTCAAAACAAAATTACATCTTTAGACCGGAGCCCTGGAAATGCAGGGTGAACCATTTATCTGTGCCCGACTAGAAATAGCGTATTCTTCAGATTGCAAGATGCTCACGAAAAAACAACACACCACCCCCCCCCCCCAAAACATTTTCCCCATGTCTCAATACTGATACCCACACCTACCAGATCAAAGACACGCACACACCCACCAGACTACAAGATGGGACGCACCTGCAACTCTTGTTGTAAATTTTACAAGGAAAAAAGCTGCATTTTATAATCCAGAGAATACGGAAAATTGGAAAAATTGTCGACAAAACATCGCATTAAAGCAGCTACACGTCTGCTAACAATCTCAAAAAACGTATTAAATCTCCTCTGCAGGGAGGCGGAGGCAAGAGCGTCAACAGACATCAGTGGGGTATCTATGAATGAATCGCC